CCGCGTTCATTGATAAAAACGCCGAGCTCCCCCGGGCGCGAGCGCAGAGTAGCAGAGCCCGGCAGCGCCACGCGAGGCCGCGGCCGGGCGGAACCGAAACGAGCCGGGCCCGCGCTGCGACGCGCCGCCTGCATGGAGCCCGCCGCCGGCTGCCAGTCCCCGCGCCCCTTCCCGCGTGCGGCCGCCCCGCCCGCGCCCCCTGCCGGGCCCGGGCCGCCTGGGAGCCCCCGGCCGGGCCCCGCGCTGGACGTGCTGGCGGGGCCACCGGCGGCGGACCCGGGGCGCCTCATCACCGACCCGCGCAGCGGCCGCACCTACTTCAAAGGCCGCCTGTTGGGCAAGGTGAGCTGCGGGGCGGGGTGCCCTGGGGGCAGCGGGGGGCTCCTGCTGGGCTCCTGCTGGCCTCCTGGACGGCGCCGGGTGGGGCCGGGGCGCTTGTCCGCGGCGCGGGGACGCGGGGACGCGGGGACGCTTGTCCTCGGCGCGGGGACGCTTGTCCTCATCGCGGGGACGTCTGCGGGCCGGACGTGGCTGTCCTGGAGCGCTCCGCCTGATGCCCCCTCCCCGTAGGGGGGCTTTGCCCGCTGCTATGAGGCCACTGACACAGAGAGCGGCAGCGCCTACGCGGTCAAAGTCATCTCGCAGAGCCGCATCACCAAGCCGCATCAGCGCGAGAAGGTGGGCCCAGGCCCAGCGGACCAGGGGTGGGGTGGGGACAGCGGTCAGCCCTTGAGGGATGACCACCCGGCGCCCCCATTGCAGATCCTAAACGAGATTGAGCTGCACCGCGGCCTGCAGCACCGCCACATCGTGCGTTTCTCCCACCACTTTGAGGATGTGGACAACATATACATCTTCCTGGAGCTCTGCAGCCGAAAGGTGAGCGATGACTAGGAGAGGGGGCTAGGGAAAGGGGGGCCTTAAGACCCGGAGCTGGAGCCCTGTCGTCTCCTCCGTGAGCACGAATGGAGGGAGGGTCAGAGAGGGTGGATCAGGGGCTGAAGCAGTGGCTCTCTGCAGTCCTTGGCCCACATCTGGAAGGCCCGGCACACTCTGTTGGAGCCGGAGGTACGCTACTACCTGCGTCAGATCCTTTCCGGACTCAAGTACTTGCACCAGCGGGGCATCCTGCATCGAGATCTCAAGCTGGGTGAGACTCCTGGGCCAGCACGAGTGGGGTCTGGGGAGGCAGAGAGAAAGGATTCTGACACACCTCTCTGCCCCCATTCAGGAAATTTTTTTATCACTGAGAATATGGAACTGAAGATGGGGGACTTTGGGCTGGCAACCCGGTTGGAACCCCCGGAACATAGGAAGAAGTGAGTGTTTGAGGAGAGGGGTGACCACAGTCTGTGTGACACAGATGACGTGTGTGACAGTGAGTATGTATGTGGGAGGCACGATGACTGCCTGATGTCTGTGTGTGTGTGATAGATGGGAAAGGGATGATGGGTCGTTTGGGAGGGGTTGGGGGGTGGAGGCGGCAGCCCGAGTCCCTAGGACTGCTGGAAAGGCTGAGGGGCCTTCCGGTGTTTGAGTCCCTGAGACAGATGGGGCTGTAAGGATCCAATGTGTAGATGGGGGTAGGTGACATTAGCAGTGTGTGTGTGTGTGTGTGTGTGTGTGTGTGTGTGACAGACTGAGTGTGGGAATGGCACGACATGCCACCCTGGATAAGAACACTCTGCTGTGGCCATGATGCCTAGGTGTGAGCGGCAACAGATAGCATGTGTGGTGGATGTGTGTTTTGGGGGGTATATGACAGCTGGTGTTGGTTTGTGTGTGGCACAGAGCATAGGAGGTGACAGCCTGTGTGGGTGTCTGACAGACGGGAGTGGGGGACTGAGGAAAGGATCCGTGAGGGACCCTTTGCTAACCGTGGAGGAGGGGGCTGGGGTGGGGGTCGAGGCCTCTGCCTGTAGTGAGCAGCTGGGCCAGGCGGGTGGGCGGGGACTCAGCTGCCATCCCCAGCATCTATTGTCCCAGGACAAACAGGAGTTCTCTTGCCTCTGGTGACAGGCAGCTGCTTTGTCTGGACTCAGCAGTGGGGGCAGGGAAGGGGAGGGCTGGCCAGGCTGGGTCTGAAACTTCTGTCTTCCTCCCTATCCCTTTTCAGAACCATCTGTGGCACCCCCAACTATGTGGCCCCAGAAGTGCTGCAGAGACAGGGTCATGGCCCCGAGTCAGACGTGTGGTCCCTGGGCTGTGTCATGTGAGTCCCGGGTCATCTGTACTGCACCAGCGGGTGCATGGATGGGGTGTACCTTCCGCTTTACTCCTGCCCCCCTTGTCTCTGCCCTGCAGGTACACACTGCTGTGTGGGAATCCCCCCTTTGAGACAGTTGACCTGAAGGAGACGTATCGCTGCATCAAACAAGTTCACTACACACTGCCCGCCAGCCTCTCACTGCCTGCCCGGCAGCTCCTGGCTGCCATCCTTCGAGCTTCGCCCCAAGACCGCCCCTCAATTGACCAGATCCTGCGCCACGACTTCTTTACCAAGGTCTGTGGCTCCCCAGACATCTAAGTCAAGGCTGCATATTCCCAGGGGATTCAATGAGGGGAGGTGACAGGAGTCCTGGGGCCTCCCTTCTTTGCTCACATGCCTTTCCTCCTTAGGGCTACACCCCCGACCGGCTCCCTGTCAGCAGCTGCGTGACAGTCCCAGACCTGACACCCCTTAACCCAGCTAGGATTCTGTTTGTCAAAGTTACCAAGAGCCTATTTGGCAGGAAGAAGAAGAGTAAGTCTGGAATGTCCATGGTTTCCACTCTGTCCGGGTACAGAGTGGCAGGGCGGCTTGTTACATATATTGTGGGGGTGAGAGTGTGAGTGCCTTTGAACCCCTGGGAGAGCATGTGCCCATCTGTATCCCTGCAGAAAGCCTGGGGGGATGGGCAGGACATGAGGGCTGTACCTTCCCCCACCCAGGTAAAAACTGTCCTGAGGCACGGGACGAGGTCTCCTGTTTGGTGAGCGGCCTCACTCGGACGTCCATTGGCCATCAAGACGCCAGACCCGAGGTGAGCTACTCACATGGGTAGTGTGCCCTGACTCACTCTCACCCTAGCTGCTGCGGGAAGCCTGGGATAAAAGAAGTTAGTGAAGCATCTAGCCTCCTGGTGGCCTAATTGGCTGTGTCTCATTAGCCAGGCGGGGCTGACCTGGGGTGCCCCGGATGCCAGGGCAAGGCAGGGCCGTGGACTCTCTCGAGGATTTGGATTTGGGGGCCTATCTCACTCCCTTCCCCTCCCCATCCCTCCAGGCTCCAGCAGCTTCTGGTCCAGCCCCACTCAGCCTGGCAGAGACAGCACCTGAAGACAGCTCACCCCGTGGGACACTGGCGAGCAGTGGAGATGGTGAGCAGCTGGGAGTTTGAGAGGTGCTAGGGTTGTTGGGGCTAAGCCCAGGGACCAGAGGGAAGGCGTGTCAGAGACATGGCCTGTATCCTGGTGAACCACTGCCCAATTCCACGTGTTCTGTTCTCTTCAGGGTTTGAAGAAGGTCTGACTGTGGCCACAGTGGTGGAGTCGGCCCTCTGCGCTCTGAGAAACTGCCTGGCCTTCATGCCCCCAGGTAAGGTTGGGGTCCTGTATGGGTGAATGGTGGTTGGGAGTTCTTTGGCTGAAAGGTCGGGAACAGCTCCTCACTTGTTCCTCTTCCATGACAGCGGAACAGAACCCGGCTCCCCTTGCACAGCCAGAGCCTCTGGTATGGGTCAGCAAGTGGGTTGACTACTCCAACAAATTTGGCTTTGGGTATCAACTGTCCAGCCGCCGTGTGGCTGTGCTTTTCAACAATGGCACACACATGGCCCTTTCAGCTAACAGAAAGTAAGTGCTGTTATGGAGTGCCTTGAGCCCAGGCTGTCGTGACCAGCACGTGTGCACTCCTGCCCTTGGGTGTCCTAGGGTCTCCTGGGGACGGGCATTGGTGCAGGGCTCCTTCTGACCTTTTGTCTCCTCTCCTCCAGGACCGTGCACTACAACCCCACCAGCACAAAGCACTTCTCTTTCTCTGTGGGTGCTGTGCCTCCGGCCCTGCAGCCTCAGCTGGGTGTCCTCCGGTATTTTGCCTCCTACATGGAGCAGCGTCTCATGAAGGTGTGTGGATTGGAGTGGGACACACTGAGGATTGACACCTCCCGATCCCTTCCTGTTCCCCTTGCGGGAGGGGTGGAGGGCTCAGAGCTAGGGGCTGAGCCTCTAAGGGACACTTGGGGTTGGGGGGGCTGACTCACATCAGCAAGTGACCTGCTCCTGCTCCCAGGGTGGAGACCTGCCCAGCGTGGAAGAGGTGGAGGTGCCGGTCCCTCCACTCCTGCTGCAGTGGGTCAAGACTGATCAGGCACTCCTCATGCTGTTTAGTGACGGCACCGTCCAGGTGAGAACCTCGCGGATTCGGGGAGGGCCCGGAGGGGTGGTGCTGGGGCCGAAGCTGGCCCCAGGCCCTGATCAGTGCCATCCTTCTGCGCATAGGTGAACTTCTACGGAGACCACACCAAGCTGATCCTCAGTGGCTGGGAGCCCCTCCTTGTGACTTTTGTGGCTCGCAATCGCAGTGCTTGTACTTACCTCGCTTCCCACCTTCGGCAGCTGGGCTGCTCCCCAGACCTGCGGCAGCGGCTCCGCTATGCTCTATGTCTGCTCCGGGACCGCTGCCCAGCCTAGGCCCTACCCTGCAGAGCAGGCCGTGGCCTAAAGCCTCAGGTCCAAGGCCTGTGCCTGTACGGCTCTGGCCCTGTCCCTTTGGTGCCTCACTGGGGGCTCTGGGCCGAATCCCCCAGGGAATCAGGGACCAGCTTTACTGGGGTCGGAGTCTGCCCATCCTAGCAGCCTCCTGCCCCTTCTCCAAGAAAAGCCTGAGCCTTAGTCCCCAGCCAGGGGGCGTTATTTATGGACCACTTTTATTTATTGACAGACATTTATTTATTGGGATTGAGCCCCGGGGAGGGCCTCCTCCTGGGATAATAAACCGTTTTTGCAGAACTTGGAGGCGTCCTCACTCGCAGTAGAGCCCGTGGACCATGGCCACGGCGAAGAGCGAGGCGTTGGTGAAGGTGGCGGAGGCCAGCCCGTCGCTCTCGGCGTCCCAGAGCGCGCGGCTGGCCACGTGCACGCCCTGGCCGGCGCGCGGCCCCAGCACCACGCCGCACACCAGCTTGTAGCGCGGGGGACAGAGCTGGCGCAGGCGCACTCGCAGCAGCTCGCACAGCTCCCGGGTCAGCGGCCCCGCCTCCGCGCCCGAGTAGCACGTGCTGCGCAGCCGCGCCGCCAGCGCCGCCTCCAGCGAGCGCTGCACCCGAGCGGCCTCCCAGCGCTCCCCCGGCGCGGGCTCAGTGCGGTAGGAGGGCGCCGCTCGACGCAGGGGGGCCAGGGGCAACCCCGAGAAGCTAACCCTCGAGCCTAGGGGAGGCACTGGGCCCAGAGATGGTCGCCGGCCCCCGGGACCCGCGCCTGGTCCTGCCAGGGAGTTGCGACGTGAGAAGGACGAGGCTGGGCCCAGCACAGAGCCCCGGCGGGAGGACGGGCCCAGGCCTGCCAGGCGGGCCTCATCGATACTGGGCAGGTGGCCTGCAGGCCTCGCTGCTGGTAGCTTCGGGCCGGGATCTTTGGGAGTATCCTCCTGGCGGCCGGGGGGCGCGGACCTGCCAGCCATGGACCTGTCGGCTGGAAGACCCGCACTTGGGCAGGATGGCCTAAACTGGCCATCTTTGTACTCCATCCAGTCTTTCACTCAGGAATAAGGGTTTTTATCCCCTAACCCCTTCTTCTTTTTTTTTTTTTTTTTTAAGATTTTATTTATTTATTAATTAGAGATACAGAGAGAGAGGCAGAGACACAAGCAGAGAGAGAGAGAGGCAGGCTCCATGCAGGGAGCCTGACGTGGGACTCAATCCTGGGTCTTCAGGATCACACCCTGGGCTGAAGGCAGGCGCCAAACCGCTAAGCCACCCAGGCGTCCCCCCCTAACCCCTTCTTACCTGTGTTCTGGGGGCAGGTGAATCAAATAGTCCCGGGCTGCGTGGATTCCTAGGCACTTAAAGGGGTAAGGGCTGTCAGGGACATAAGGGGTGCTGCTCAGACTATCATCTTGGGCTAGCCCCTGCCCCCCTGAGCTTCACTTCTCCCTGGGCACGGTGGAGGTAGCTCTAAGTACACCTCCTAGTCTCCCCTTCCGCCGGACTTCACCAGCAGAAGGGGGAGAATGAATCCGCCCTTTGCCCCAGTCTAGACAGTGGGCCTCACCAAAAGGAGTCACAGAGACCCTATCTCCTTCAACCCCACAGATCCTAGCCCCATAGGTTTTGAATCCGGCTGTCTTCCAGCCCTAGCTACTTCTGGGGTGGCTGACACAAAACTCGCCCCCACAACTGGCTGAGGCTGGAGGCAGGTGACTCAGGAAGTGCTTTCCTTCCTCTGCATTTGGCCTCTGGCCCTACCTCCAGAATCAGTTCTGGGATGAATGCCCTCTTCTCCCGAAACTCCTGAAACTCCCGCAGGCACCTGAGTCACCGGCTGATTTTGGCTTCCAAACTCCTAGCTCCACAGCCTTGCCTGCCCAGCTGACCTGACCAGCAGGCAGGAGGGTAATGGCCTCTTGTGTTGGGAAGTTGCCCTGGGTTACCGGGCAGGCACTCCTGTTTGGTTCCCTCCTTCCAGTCCCGGCTCTGGATTAACCTGGAAGTGTTCCTACTGTACGCGTGCCTAGTGTGGGGTACCTGAGTCCTCAGGGAAGAGGAGATCACCAGGGCCCAGAACCCAGGGCATACCACTGCGGGGGGCAGATATAGAGCGGGGCTCCCGGGGCTCTTGAGCTGTTGTCCATTTCTCTCCTTGGGAAGTCTGGCTCTTCAGTTGTGAGCAAGTTGCAGAAGCCTGGGATATGGGGAGAGCTTGAGCCTTCAGGGGTGGCTGCTGGGGAATCAGGATCTGGGCCCACAGGAAGGAGAACGTCATGGCTCTTTCGTCTCCCCATCAGCCTCAACTGGGACAGACATTTCCGCTCCCTGTGCAGAGCTGGGGTGGGGTTTGGATGACTTCCTCAGCTCAGGGCTGTGTGCAGGGGGAGGGGAGGCTGGCAGCCTTGCTGATCAGAGCCAACCTGACGCAATGGTGGTGCAAGAGTGGTGACTGGACTTGGCAGTGAACCAGGGCCTGGCCTCCTGACCCCTGATGACCCAAGTGCCCTAGGGCTTGTCCCTAGCTGGCCACACCTTTTGTCCCCAGCACGCCACCCTCTAGCCGTGGTTGCATTTTAGGGATGACAGATTGCATTTTAGGGATGCCACAGGCCATGACGCCTCTGTCGGGGCTGACAGCTCCTCACCTGACCTCCCTCTGGAAGGCACAGGACTGCCCCCCTCCCAGATGAGCCAGTCGGGGCTCTGAAAACTCCATAGGGGTGAGGAAGTTCCCTGTTGAGGGGGGTTCCCCAAGCCTGGCTAATCTGATCCTGACCCTGTGTGCAAGTGGGGGGAGGGGAGAGGGGCAGGGAGTTTGAACCCCAGACAGGCAGGGGCCTGGGTGCTGAGACCCTCCACTCAGCTTCCCACCCCTCTGAGGCCTGAAGTTTTCCTGGGGCCTGTGGGAGATGGGCGGGGCCTCTCAAGCTGGGCTCCAGTTTCCGTGGAAACCCACAGGCTTCCCACCCACTGCTGCCTGGGCAGGCTCCCAACTGGGGCCTCATCCGCTGCCAGCCTCTCCTCCCCAGTCCAGTCTGCTCCACCCTCAGCCTCTCTAGGCCCCCTCCCTGAGTCCCCATCCCCTAGCCCAGCCTCTGGCCTCTTCCACTGGCCTCTGATGCCTTCTTAGGGAAGCTGGGCCTCTCCTGCCCCATCCCTAAACTTTAGCTTCTCAGGAAACAGGCTTTCCCAGCTCCTGCCCCTCCCTCTCAGGCCTTTCTAGTCTCACACCAGCTGCTGGGCCTGGCCAGGCCTCCTGCTCCTTCCCACCTACCACCTCCTTAGACCAACAGACAACAGGCCTCCTAGGCTATTGTTCTACTTGCTTACTCCCCGCCCCCTACCCCATGGAGACCCCAGGACTGGTTGTGCAAGGGGAGGCTGCATCCTTTTCCACAGCACTCCGAAGCCTGCTCAACAATCCCCAATACAGGTGAGGGGGTGGGCTGTCTGTGGGGTTTCCCTAACTGGCTCTGCTGGGCCCCATGACCCCCGAGGAAGCCTTGGGTACACAAGCGGTGGGGAAGACAATCCTCCCTGGTGCACTCAGTCTGGGGAAGTCAAGTGTGGAGAACGACTACAGGTCACTCAGCGTCCTTGATGTCCTGAGAACCAGAGGTGGGAGGCGGGGGTGGGGGTGGGGGTGGGGGCTGCAGCCCAGAGCAGCTGTGTGACTTCAGGCAAAGGCCTTTCTTTTTTGGCTCTTGAGCTCCTGGCAGAGAAGAGCCCTTTGCCCCCTGGATCCTGAGAGATGGGATGTAACTTGAATCCCTCCCTGGGAGGCAGAGGAGCAGATGACTCTGTTCTGGGAACTGGGGATTCACAAGAGGAACAAAGCTCAAGGGACTGAGTGAGCCAGAGCCTCAGACAGGATGTAGGGTGCTGCCTAGAGCTCACTGCCCAGGATGCTGGTGGTGTCTGCAACCAGGGATAGAAGATGGGGAGCAGGGCTGGTCAGAACTCTAGTTCTAGTGTACCTCTCTGTCCCCCCTCCCTGGAAGCTCGGCTCCTCCTCAAGGGCTGGTGACTCCTGTAACCCTACTGCTTTGGGGATTACAGTCTGGTCTGAGTAGTGGGAACCCCTGGCCTTGGACCAGGGACTAGGAGGCTCCAGAAGCTCAAGCTTCATTTCCTGCCTCCTACCCCCTATGCTGTTGGGAGGCCCAGAGGCTGGGGCAGGAAGTGATTGTGAAGATGGAAAATGTGGTCTGGTCTCATGATGGTGTATCGCTGCCATGTCTGTCTCCAGCCAGTGCACTCTGTGCCCCCGCTCCCCACCCCCTCCTGCGTGGAGGAGGCTGAGAAAGGCTGAGTTTGCAGTCTATGGAGGAGGAGCCAAGAAGAACCTCCTTTGCCTCAAGATGCAGGCTGGGGTGGAGGGGGGTAGGTAGGATCAATGTTGCATCAGCCTTGGCGCCCCCTCAGTGATCAAGTGTAGCCACCTCCTCTAAGAACTGAGGGTTTGGGATTAAGATCTCGTTTCATGGATGAGAAATTTGAGATTCAAAGGTATAAAGTCACTTGCCCGAGGGGCCATCCGGTGGAGCTGGGACTAGAATCCAGGAACGTGTATCCCAGGCCTTTGGCTAGAAGATGAAGACCTGGCCCTTAGGACGGATAAGGAAAGGAAGGCCCAGGGTGGGCAGAGGTGAAGCCCAGGGTTGTACCCAAGATGCTGGCATCTTCTTCCCTGGTTCTCTCCCCTTTCCCACAGTGATGTTTGCTTTGTGGTCGGTCAAGAGCGGCAGGAGGTGTTTGCCCACCGGTGCTTGTTGGCCTGTAGATGCAACTTCTTCCGAGGACTTCTTGGCCCAAAGCTGGGCCCCGGGATGCCTAGCCCTGTGGTGCTAAGCACCGTGCCAGCTGAGGCCTTCCTGGCAGTGCTGGAGTTCCTGTACACCAACAGTGTCAGGCTGCACCGCCACTCTGTGAGCCCATCGGGCATGGGGCTGGGGGCCTGGGGGGCAGGGGGAGGGGCAGGGAAACTCTCCCACTCCCCCAACCACCCACTCTGCAGGTGCTGGAGGTGCTGACCGCGGCTGTGGAATATGGGCTGGAGGAACTGCGAGCGGTGGGTTTATATGGCAGGCCCGGGTCTCGCTTCGCTTTCCTCCCATGGGCTCAGTTCACACCCTGCCTCACACACACTGTGGCCTGCAGAGGAACGTGTACCAACACAGAAGTATGGATATCTCTGTGTAAATAGGCACGTATGTGTGCCTGTGTGCAAGAGGATGTGTGCGTGCTGTGTGTGTGCGCAGTAGGGGCACGTGGGGTATTTAGGGCCAGTGCAGTAGATTCCAGGGTAAGTCAGCCTTGATCCTTGTCCTTCAGAGAGACACACGGAAACTCTTAACCCGGGGGCCTAAGAAGGGTGGTAGAGGAAGGTATGTGGTGCTGAGACTCTACAGAGGGTCTCAGCCATCAGGGAGAAAAGGAGGGAAGCCTCCTGGGAGGAGGAAACTTGTGTTAGATCAAGTAGAACAGGTCAGAGTTTGCTTGGAGGGGGAGTGGAAAGGTGGCATTCTGGTCACTGAGGCACAAAAGGAGCTAGGGAGCCGTTTAGTGTGGCCGGACCAAGAGTTTGAGAGGAGGAGAGATAGAGGAGATGAGAAAGGGAAGCCAGGGCTAGATCACGAAGGACCTTCAAGAATTTGGACTTTTTTTTTTTTTTTTTTTTTTTTTTTTTTTACCCAGAGGGCATGGGTTCACTGGAGGTTTCAGATAAGGGAGTGAGGGTTTGGAGGTAATGGGGTGAGGTGACTGGGAGAGATGGGAAGGGCTCCCCAGTGCACTAGGGATGAGTAGCAGTGGAAACTCAAGAGAGCAGTGCGTGAGAAGTAGAACTGGAATGACCCAGCACTTTTCTGGGTGAGGGTGAAAGGGACAGGTCATGATGAAATTCAAGTTTCTGGCTTACAACCAAAAGGTCTCTGAGTAGGAGGGGAACAGGTGGAAGAAGACAAATGTCCTCAGAGAAAAGGAGAGTGGATTTTCACGAGGCTTGCATCTAGTTTGATTATTGGGGAATGTGCTAGAAGGTAGACTGCTGCTAGCCTCTAATCCCTTCAGGCTTGCCAGGTCTCAGCCCCTGGTGATTCCTCGCCTCCCCTGGCTGTTAGGCTCACTGCTTCTGGGGTGAGGCCAGGGTCTTGGAACAGAGACACCTCCGCACAACCCACTTTCATTTGTTTCCAGCTGTGCCTGGAGTTTGTGGTGAAGGTGATGGATGTGGAAATGGTCTGTGAGGCCTTGCAGGTAGGTGTTGCTGGACGGGCTTGTAGGTGGGCCTCGGCGTGGAGGCCCCGGCCACATGGCCTTCCTGCCTCCAACCTGCTGCCCTTCCTTCTGTTCCCAGGTTGCCGTAACCTTTGGCCTGGGAGCCCTGCAGGAGCGTTGCGTAGCCTTCATAGAGGCCCACAGCCGGGTATCGCTCCCCATCTTCATCACCCCAAACCCGCACACCTCACTTGACTCCCCCCTGACCCATTCGTGGACCCACAGGAGGCGCTCCGGACCCGGGGCTTCTTGGAGCTGTCGGCGCCCGCCTTGCTGCCCCTGCTGCGCAGCGACAGGCTCTGCGTGGACGAGGCCGAGCTGGTCCTGGCCGCCCGGAGCTGGGCGCGCGTGGGCGCGGTGAGCGGGAGCGAAGGGGACCCCGCCCTGGGGCTGCGGGAGGAGGCTGGGGCGCAGGAACCAGGTACCCCGCCCGTCCGGGCTTAGGGCTGGCGTTCGCAGGCCGTGCTGGAGCGGCCTGTGGCCGAGGTGGCGGCCCCGGTGGTACGGGAGCTGAGACTGGCCTTACTGGCCCCGGCGGAGCTGAGCGCCCTGGAGGAGCAGAACCAGCGGGAGCCGCTCATCCCGGTGCAGACGCGGGGGATGCCGCGGGCCAGGGTGGGCGGGCGAGGGTGTCCCACCGACTCCGCGGTGACCGGCCTTCCCCTGCAGGTGGAGCAGATCGTGGAGGCGTGGAAATGCCACGCTCTGCGGAGAGGGGATGCGACCCGGGGCGCCCCGTGCCGCCGCCGGAGGGGGACCCTGCCCCGGGAGCACCACGGCTTTCTGGATCTGCCCCTTAAGTGACCGAAGGCCGCGATTCGCGGGGAATTCTGGGCCTGTCCCAAACTACAGCTCCCAACATGCCTGGCGCTCAGAGGGGGCTTCCGCCCCCAGCATGCCCTGCGAGCGGGGGGCGGGAAGAACGGCTGTCTGCCCAATGCGGGGGCGGGGGCGGGAGGGGCGGAGCCCCCAAGCGATTCCTCCGCGCCTTACCCTGGCTCTGTCCCGGGGCTCTGGCAGCGCTGCTACCCCCGCGTTTACTTCCGTAACCCCCACATCTTTTCAGCTCTGCTCCCTCTTTATTCCAGACCTGCTTCTTGAAGCTCTCTCTCCAGATCCCCGAAGCTCTCTCTCCAGATCCCCGACACTCAGTCCAAGTCGAGCTGCCTTCTCATCTTCCCCAGCTCCGCCCCCATCGTGTTTCTCATCCACGTGGGTTCCCCAGCCAGAAACCTGCATCTCGGCCTTGCCTTGTTCCTCTGCATCACAGCTGCCTCCTGCGGCTTCCACCTTCTAAGAGACTGAAGGGTCGCTGAATGTACCAACCCAAAATATGCCTCTTTGGGCTAACGATTATTTTAAGCTGGTTGTTTTGAGAAACAGTGGGAGCTCTGGAAACAGAGTAGAAGTTACTCTTTTGTAAGGGAAATTTATATTTAAAAAGGAAATCTCCATTTATAAGGGTGTCTCATTCTTGTGCCAGGAAAAGAAGGATGATGAACTCACAGGAGGATTTTAGTGGAGAAGGCCCCCAATGAAATCTTAACAAACCTCCTGTTGTTTACTGTGCTTTTCCTGGTAGCTTCCCCATAACTATCCTCCCTACACTTTTCTTTGCTCTTTAGCTTAAGATGGTTTTTCAGCAGGTATTTCAGACCGCTTTGGGGAGCCACTCATTTTTCCCTGGGTATTTTCCATGTACACTGAGATATACACACTAATAAACTTGTTTTTCTCTTGTTAATCTCTTATTACAAGGGTCTCTTCCAAAGCTCAGAGAGTAGAGGGGAAATTATTTTTCCTCCCCTACGAGATCTTTCCAGTTGGTTCCGTTTTCTTAGCTTTAGTTCACCCAATTTTTTTTTTAAGATTTCATTTATTTATTAGAAAGTGCACATGAACAGGGAGAGGGGCAGAGGGGGAGGGAGGAACAGACTCCCTGCTGAGCATGGAGACTGACATGGGGCTCTATCCCAGGACCCTGAGATCATGACCTGAGCCAAAGTCAGACACTTAACTGAGCCATCTAGGTGCTCCTAGTTCACCTAATCCTGCATGTGTTAAGAATTAATGCAACAAGCTCATAATAGTCTTCTGCCTTCACTCCAGCATACTGCCTCCTCACCTATCATGCCCCATTTCCCACCCTGCAGCCAGATTTAGGATTGTTAGCCCTATTCCCCTTATTAAGTCACTCAACATCCCCGTTCCTCTCAGCACAAAATACAACTCTATTTCACTTTGACACTTTGAATTACTAGTGGTAATCTTCTCTCAAATACTACCTTTGCATAAAATCACTGGTTCTGAAGGCAGTAGTCCTCTGGCTGTGCATTCACTCTCTTAATTATTGAAGACTCCCCATGCTCCCTCTTTTAATTCATTATGAATTTTGTCTTCCTGAAGGTCTGAATCTCCCTGAAGAAAGATCCCTGGGCCTAGAGTGGTGCTTTCTGCATTTCTTGTTCCCCAGTCCCTGTCATGTAATCAGTGCTCTGTAAATGTTCAATGAGGACTTTATTTCCATATTTAAAGGCTCTTTTATTCCATAAAGAGTTTAAAAGAGCTGTTAAACAAGACACTATCAATCTAAAATGAGGAACAGGGATCCCTGGTGGCGCAGCGGTTTGATGCCTGCCTTTGGCCCAGGGCGCGATCCTGGAGACCTGGGATCGAATCCCACGTCGGGCTCCTGGTACGTGGAGCCTGCTTCTCCCTCTGCCTGTGTCTCTGCCCACCCCCCCCCCTCTGTGACTATCATAAATAAATAAGAAAAAAAATTAAAAAAAATAAAATGAGGAACAGTTGATTAGAAGAAAATATGGTTAAACATCTGTCTCAGGGATTTTTAAAGATTTTATTTTTTTTTTATTTATTCATAGAGACAGAGAGAGAGAGAGGCAGAGACACAGGCAGAGGGAGAAGCAGGCTCCACGCAGGGAGCCCAACGTGGGACTCGATCCCGGGTCTCCAGGATCACGCCCTGGGCTGCAGGCGGCCCTAAACCGCTGCGCCACCAGGGCTGCCCTGTCTCAGGGATTTTATACAAAAATATGTTGCACATGAATTAAAGATAGGCATTTGGCATTATCTCTTATGACTGAAAATGTGGTTACTCAGAGTACCACATGACAGCATTGTTTGGATAATGAAAATTGAAAATAAACGATGTCCCGGTTTAACCTAGAAGACTGATTGGTATATTCTCACCGTGATATAAAAAGATATCTGTGACCTTTGAAAAAAGTTCAGTGCAGACCAAAGCATGATCCCTTTTGCCAAAAGAAAAGGTAGTGTAGGGGAGGAAGAAATTTTCCTTGCCCATCTTAGGGTTCCTGGTTGGGTCTGAAAATTAAACCAACAAAGATTAACAGGAGAAAAGCATACAAATTTATTTAAGATGTTTCCTTTAAAAAAAAAAAGATGTTTCCTTTATTATTTATTTATTTCAGTAATCTCTACACCCAAGGTGGGACTCATAACCCTGAGGTCAAGAGTTGCATACTTCTCCAATTGGGCTAGCCTGGCACCCCAATATAAGTTTTAGTGATATGGGAGTCTTCATAAGGAAATGAAGACCAGAAGAAATGGTTCAACCTTAGTACTTTTATGCTAGATTTGATAAGAATGGAGAGTCATGGAGGAATATAATGGTTTAAGGTATGACGTAGGGGCGTCTGGGTGGTTCAGTAGCTTAACCATCTGCCTTGGACTCGGATCATGATCCCAGAATGGAGACCTTGATCGGGCTTCTGTTCAGTCTGCTTCTTCCTCTCCCTCTCCTTTTGCCCTTCCCCCTCAGTTCTCCCCCTCTCTCTCAAATAAACTCTTAAAAAAAATTAAGAGTATGAGGTATGCAGGAAACTTAGCAAGGTCTGTTTGTTTAGATTCTTCTTGGAGTCCTTTTGACTTTGGATAAGGATGACTCCGTGCCTCCAGTATAGGAGGGCAGGGCTCACTTGGGGGTTTTATGATCTGTTTCAAGGTAGAAGGGAGGGCAGCCCGGGTGGCTCAGTGGTTTAGCGCCGCCTTCAGCCCAGAGCCTGATCCTGGAGACCCAGGATCCAGTCCTATGTCGGGTTCCCTGCATGGAGCCTGCTTCTCCCTGTGCCTGTGTCTCTGCCTCTCTCTCTCTGTGTGTGTGTGTGTGTCTCATGAAAAAATAAATAAAATCTTAAAAAAAAGGGGGGGAGAAGGGAGGGTGTCAGGGTAGGATAGGGAGGTGAGTTCCTGGTTTTTCAAATAGCTTAAAAATATTCAATATGGGATCCCTGGGTGGCGCAGCGGTTTAGCGCCTGCCTTTGGCCCAGGGCGCGATCCTGGAGACCCGGGATCGAATCCCACGTCGGGCTCCCGGTGTATGGAGCCTGCTTCTCCCTCTGCCTGTGTCTCTGCCTCTCTCTCCCTCACTGTGTGCCTATCATAAATAAATAAAACAAAAAAAAAAATATTCAATATGCAGGGGCAGCCCCAGTGGTGGAGCGGTTTGGCGCTGCCTGCAGCCTGGGGTGTGATCCTGGAGACCTGGGATCAAGTCCCGCATCGGGCTCCCTGCATGGAGCCTGCTTTACCCTCTGCCTGTGTCTCTGCCTCTTTCTGTGTCTATGAATGAATAAATAAATAAAATCTTTAAAAAAATATTCAATATGCTAAGGTACTGTGTTTTGGGGTAGCATGTGCTGAACCCCACTAGTAGTATAGTGATTAAGAGTATGTCTCTTCTGGAGTGAGGATGCCTGGGTGTGAGTCCTAGCTCCACCATTTTGGAGCTTCATGACTTGAATGAGAGTCTGTAACCTTTCTGTGCCTCAATTTCCTTAAAGTGGAGCTAATAACAGAATCTACTTAGTAGGGTTTTTAGGAAGATTGATTTTGTAAAGTGCTAAGAACCATTCAGATTATCTTTGTATATGTGTTTAGAAAAGAAATCCAAACACACATACAAATCAAATTCATTAACTTGCTCCACAAATATTAAGTGCTCGTGTGAGAGGCACTGATTTAGGATCATGGAATCCATCAGAGAACAAGTCAGGTAAAGTCCTTGCTCACCCAGCTTACATTTTAGGAGAAACATACAGCAGACAAGTTAATGTAGGAAACAATTTCAGGGATAGTTTGTACTCTGCAGATAAATAAAACAGGTTAAGAGGATAAATCATGGTGTGGTGGGAGCTGGCCTGCTTCATACAGGGTGGTAAGGGTGAAGGAGAAAAGGTGTGAACCCCGTGTCCTGGGAAGGCATCTGGAGGGGTTCGTGCAGGAGTGGAGTGTGTGATCAGCTTTACATTCAAACAATTTTTGTGTTGGGGCACCTGGGTGGCTCAGTAGGTTAAGCGTCCAACTGGTGATTTTGGGTCAGGTCATGATCTCGTGGGTCCAGAGACCCCACAGTGCGGGGCTCCACGCTCAGCTGGGAGTCGCTTGGGATCCTTGCCCTCCCACCCTCCCCCTACTTGCATGTGGCTCTCTCGCTCAAATAAATCTTTAAAAAAAAGGCAATACTTTTTTTTTTTTTTTTAAGATTTTATTTATTTGGGGATCCCTGGGTGGCGCAGCGGTTTAGCGCCTGCCTTTGGCCCAGGGCGCGATCCTGGAGACCCGGGATCGAATCCCGCGTCGGGCTCCTGGTGCATGGAGCCTGCTTCTCCCTCTGCCTGTGTCTCTGCCTCTCTCTCTATGTGTGACTATCATAAAAAAAAAAGATTTTATTTATTTATTCATGGGAGACACACACACACACACACACACACACACAGGCAGAGGGAGAAGCAGGCTCCATGCAGGGATGTGGGACCCGATCCCAGGTCTCCAGGACTACGCCCTGGGCTGACAGCAGTGCTAAACCGCTGAGCCACCCGGGGTGCCCGAGATGGCATTTTCTTAAACCCAAAGAATTAGGGGCACCTGGGTGGTTCAGTGAGGCGTCTGCCTTCAGCTCAGGTAGAGGTCATGGGGCCCTGGTCCTGGGATCGGGCCCCATGTAGGGCTCCCTGCTCAGTGGGGAGTCTGCTTCTCCCTGTCCTTTTGCCTGTTGCTCTCCTTGCTTGTTTTTTTCTTTCTCTCTCTCAAATAAATACAATCGTAAAAAAAAAAAAAAAATTAAATGAGCTCCCTCGCAAAGAAGACGCAGATAGGTGGGAAGAGCTAGGCCTAAAATCCGAGGACATTTGGCGGCTAGCCCTACCCATTCTGTCATAGTGTAGGGCACACCACTGAGACTGTCAATTACTTATCCCGGTTATATTACTTGCCCAATTTTTTTTCAGTGCTTGGCTCTACTGGTAAATTAAGCCCCTATTACGGTAAGGAATATGGTATCTTCGGCATGAGAACAGGGCTAGCGGGAGAGCTGGGTGGGGGTAAGCCACTGAGGAGGTCATACCCAACTGCTGGGGGACAACTGGGGAGTCTGAGAGCAGGTGCGAACTGTTTACCCCCTTTCTGCTGTATCTCAAGCCACATATACCGGCAGGAACATACCATAAGAGATTATATTTAAGATTTTATTTATTCAAAAAAAAGATTTATTCATATGAGAGAAAGAGAGAGAGAGAGAGGCAGAGACACAGGCAGAGGGAGAAGCAGGCTCCATGCAGGGAGCCCGACGTGGGACTCGATTCCAGGACTCCAGGATCATGCCCTAGGCCGAAGGCAGTGCTAAATCGAAGGCAGGTGCTAAATCGCTGAGCACCCAGGGATCCCCAACATACTAGATTCCTAACCTTCTCTCCTGTTCGCCACCCCAGAAAGAAGTTAGGACGACCCACAGTTGACTGCTTCAAAAAACCCAAGCAGCGAAAAGACTTTTAAAGAGAATCGACCCACAGGAAAGCACCGAAGACCGGAAATTACCGAACTATGTACAGCACCACGGGTTACCTCCCGACGCAAAGACGCACGACTCTAACTTCTCACACCCGTAGTTCTGCTCTTCGAACCGAGAAAGGTGAGCCTCGTTAGCCGAGGCCTCAAAAAATTGGGTAAAAACTCGTAACTGTTCCTCTCCACGGAAATCTTTAGTAAAAGGCGAAAGATTTATGCGATCTGAAGAGAAACCAGAGTGTGCGGCCGCGACCCGCTCGGAAGCCCCTAGAGCCAGACAACACTCGGCACAGTTATGGTTGTTCTGTGTCCGCAGGGTTCGTGCTCCCCGCCCGGAATTCGTGGGGAGCACATTGTTTCTGGCAGGCAGCGTGCCCGGCGACACTGCACAAACCTCCGGTGGGGCTGGACCTCAAGCAGCGTGAAACTGCCTTTTCGTGGTGCACCATGGGTATGCAAATCACGGGCGCTCGGGCCGCAGAGACGCCCCGGGGACTTCGGGCGGCAGCGCTCGCTCCTTGCCCTGCGGTCTGCGTGGGCACTCGCGCAGGGCTTGCTCCCAGTGAGGGGTGCCCCCCGCTGGTGCCCGGCCCTATACCGGGGCTGGGGTTGTTACTTCCAGTGCTTGGGGTGCCGTCTAATGGCAAACCTGCAGCGATCCTCTGGCCCCCGTCCCGGGACAGAGCAGAAGCACTAGGGCAAAGACACCCGGGGACCCCGGGACCTCCTGGGAGGCAGGTCACGACCCCTCCTGCAGGAGGTGGCATCCGGTTTATATTACAGGCTGTTCCATCCAGGAGGAAAAGTGGGTGCAGTCCGGTGAATGATGGGGGGTGCTCAGGGAGCCTTGGGCCTGCCTAGGGTGTGGTGCGCCTGAATGAGGCGGGGGTCTGGCTGGGCCCCGGGAGAGCCGGTGAGCGCGAGGCTACAGAGAGCTGCACCTGGAAGGGGCTCGGATTTCATCCTGTCCGTGATGCCACCCAGGGTGGGCTGCCCCGCGCACCTCAGGACTTGTCTCTGAGACTGAATGTGATTCGTGCCCCTGGACTGACCATTCTTGGGATGGCCCAACGCCAAGTGCCTGGGATCAGCTCAGTTGCTGCCACACCAGGGCATCCTTCTGTGTTTCAGGGTTATTCCCTAATCGGTCTGAACAGAAACCTTCAGCACAGCTAGTATCTGTACAAACTACAAAACCAGAGAGCACCGGGGAGATGCTGGGCTCTTCCTTACATCAATGATTTCATTAAAAATCATGAGAAAAGGGGGATCCCTGGGTGGCTCAGCGGTTTGGCGCCTGCCTTTGGCTCAGGGCGTGGCCCTGGAGTCCTCGGATCAATGGATCAATCGAGTCCCACGTCGGGCTCCCTGCATGGAGCCTGCTTCTCCCTCTGCCTGTCTCTGCCTCTCTCTCTCTCTATCATGAATAAATAAATAAATCTTAAAAAAAAGATAAAACAAATAAAAATCATGAGAAACCTGGGTGGCTCAGTGGTTGACCATCTGTGTTTGGCTCAGGTTGTGATCCCAGGGCGGGGCCTGGGACTGAGTTCCCCATCAGGCTTCCTGCAGGAAAGCCCACTTCTTCCTTGCCTGTCTCTGCCTGTCTCTCATGAATAAATAAAATCTTAAAGAATGAGAAAAAAAAAATAGCACCCTACAGGATAGGCTCTAATCCTCCCATTTCACAGATGAGGACACTGAGACAATGATGTTAGCTAGGTTTCCTAGGCCACTCTGCTTGTGTCAGCTTGTTGTTGGCTGATATCTTTTGCACTATTCCAGCTCAGTGAGCTCTCCTGCTCCACCCAGAAGCCCCTCAATAACGACCCAGACTGAAATCCCGCCCCCATCCCCTTGCACGTGGTGGATGCACACCCCACTTTAGGTTCAAAGCCAATTACCCAATTACTCATTTCTCTTAGGTCTTTTCAGGCGCTGTAGTTTGTTTGTTTTCTTTTTTTAAGATTTTATTTATTTATTCATGACAGATTGAGAGAGAGAGAGAGAGGCAGAGACCCAGGCAGAGGTTGAAGCAGGCTCTGTGCAGGGAACCCGACACGGGACTCGATTCAGGATCACACCCCGGGCTGAAGGCGGCGCTAAACCGCTGCGCCACCGGGGCTGCCCAAGGCGTTGTAGTGTTGATTCAACTGCTGAAGGTTTGTGTATTAAATTAATTCATCTCACATTTAGACAGAACGTGATTTCCTGGCCTTTAGCCTGGTGGGTGGGATGTGAGAAGGTGGTGCTCTTAAGGTGGGGTTGTTCCTGGTGAGTGGGTGGCTGGACCCCAGGGAGGATATCTGTGTCTCTTGAGACTGAGCCCTGGAATAGCTGGGGAAGGGCAACAAAAGGCCTCCTCCACTTCCTAGGCTGAGGTGCTGTGTTCTAGCTCAGGGGCGTGGCCAGAGTCTTCAAGGCCTCTGTACTGTGGGGCTGTAGGACATCACAAAACTAAGAGCCTAAATACTGGCTGCTAGCACCATCTCAATTTCTGGACATTTCCCCCACCGATCCCCTGACTGTGCTGCCAGAGATGCCCCTGGGGCGCCAGACTGCTAACTTGCAGAGGCTTCTAGCCTTGGAGGTTGGCTTAGAAGTAAAACTCCTAAAATATCTCCCCAGACCCTGCTATTTCCATCCCAGCTTCACCTTCACCTGTTGCCTGGCTCTGCCCCTGTACCCATGCCCCCTATGATGCTGAAACAGAAAGGTGGGCGAGGAGTCTCGGGGGGGCAGCCCGAGTGGCTCAGTGGTTTAGCGCCGCCTTCAGCCCAGGGCCTGATCCTAGAGACCCAGGATCGAGTCCCACGTCGGGCTCCCTGCATGGAGCCTGCTTCTCCCTCTGCCTGTGTCTCTGCCTCTCTCTCTCTCTCTCATGAATAAATAATAAAATAAAATCTTTAAAAAACATAAATAAGAGCCACATGGTAGTTTGACAACGAAAACATTTGTATCATTTCGTCTACCAAGCACTTGACCCAGTCCTGTTCTCAACTCTACGACCAGCATTATGTTTGCTGAACATCATCTTCACTTCCCAGGTGAATAAATAGGCCAAAGTTATGGGACAAAAATTTAGAACCTGGGGCCTTTCCCTCCTAGGACTAGAGCAGCCCCAGGAACGTAGGCCATGACACCTCTACTTGCAAACTCCCCTTTGTTCAAAAGAAAAGAGCCAGTCATTTGAGAGGAGTTCATATAGAATATATTTCACTCTTTAAAAATAAAACTTTCAGTGTAGCTAACATCTATACAAACTACAAAAATAAACATCTTCATATAAATAATTTATGTGGTAGGATGTGGGCAGAGATACGGAGCTGCGTACTCTGGAGTTCCCAAGCAGTGGGGGGCCAGGCCTAGCAGAGGGTGCTGGAGGCCCCCCCAGTCTTGGCTTGCTAGGGGCCCGGGGCACAGGGCTGGGGAGGGGGAGAGGCCGGACGCACCACCTGGTTGGCTGGCTCCACCCGCCCCCCGCCGGCGCGGGCACTAGAGCCCAGTGTGCAAGGCACTCCGAGCCTACTTGGGGCGGTTCTGTGGACAGCAGGGAGGTCCATGACGGCTGAGGCAGGAGAGGGGACGCAGGCGGACACAGCAGCAGGGCTCCCCAGGTGTCGTCCTGCCTTCAGTAGCACCCCCCCATTGCTTCCCAGTGACTTCAGGTGGCCCTAGCAGGGTCTCCATGCTTCAGATGCTTTCACCCAGTGGCTGGACATGGTCCCCTGGAACTGAGGTTGCTGGAGCCGTTGGCAGCTGGTGTGGCAACAGGGGACCAAGTGGGCTCGTCAGAGGCTGGGTGGATGTAGGCACCGGGCAGTGGGGGTGGGTGGAGGGCCACCGTCATGGAGGTAGTCACTCTGGCAAAGCTCTGGGGCAGGGTGGGGGGCAACCCCCACCTGAGCCCTCCTTCTCGTGGAGCTTGGGGGCTGAGGACCTCTGGGCTCTCCTTGTACATCTGTACCACCTGGGGGAGACACAGGTCCACTGAGCCCAGGGATACCAGGACCTCAGTCCCCTTCAGCAGCTCACTGGTGCATCACCACCATGGCTTCCATAGGATACAGGAGCTGGCAAGGGACAGGATATCAAGGTCTGGGACAAACCCGGCACCTTGCTCTGGACCCTAAATGCTAAGTGGGTCCGAAAAAGAAGCCAGGAAAACTGAAGTGCAGGACCTTGGTGTTGGGGCAAAGGGAGAGGCTGCTGCCCTCCGAGGACCTCATGGGGAGGGTCCTTGTGAGGTGAGCCCTGTCTTTTGGCCACTGAGAACATTTTGTCTTGGCTCTGTCTCTTCCCTTGCCTGTCCCACCCCAACCCCTGGGCTGGGAGCAGACGGAGGGGGTGGCTACCTCTGGCGGGGGGCCCAGGATGGACAGCAGCACAGGCAGCAGCACGAGCCCATGGAGGAGGCCCAGGAGGGTGAGCACAGTTAGCACCACGAAAAAGTACCTGTGGGGGCGGGGCAGTCACCTGGATGGCCCTTGCAGCCAGCGCCCGGCCCTACCCCTAGGCCCAGCTCCCCCTACCGTATGATGAAGTCAAAGTTGGAGCCAGCAAGCATGAGCAGACCCAGCAAAGTGGACACAGCCCCATCGGTCACTGGGGCGAACGTGCGCTCTAGGGCGTGGGCAGCCCGCAGGTTCCGGCTACCCTGGGTGGTCAGGAAGCCCTGGGGGCAGAAAGAAAGAGGCCTGTAGCTGCCCCCTAGCCACCCTTGCCCCCAGCCCCTCATCGGCCCCCAGGGCTCCCGGGACCCTCCAGGAACACGAGGACTCTACTTAGGTAACAAAAGGAAACAGAGAGTTCTAGAACGGCTGGCAAACAAGGCCTGCCCCCTGTGTTCGTAAATAAAGTTTAGCTGAAAGAGCCACACGCAGGCACCCACGCGGCGCCGTCTGTGGCCGAGTCGGGGGTACAAAGGCAGAGCTGCTCCTGAGCCTAGTGTTTGCTCTCGGGCACTTCGGTTTGTCCAGGAGGATGGATACGAAGTGGTCAGAGTTATTTGTTAGGATGGGGTTTCAAAAAAAAAAAAAAAAAGGATGGGGTTTCAGAGGATCCCTAATTCTTTGTACTTCTCTGTATGCTGACTGCCCCGGCCCCCACCCCCGGAGGATATTCGTTCCCATCATCACCAGAACAGGGCCATTCTGTTTGTGGGGCCCAGCCAGGTTTGGGATGGCGCTCCCTGCAGTCTGTGGCTCCCACTCCCGCTCCCCCACCTCCTCGTCAGGGACTGTGGAGCTCTGGGAGGGGCCGGGCCTGCCTCAGTTCTACACTCTCTGTCTTGGAAGAATCTCTGTCTTGGAAGAATCCGTCTTTACCCCATCGTCATCCAGCTGCCACCCCACTTCTCTGACCCCTTCACAGTAAAACCATCCCAAAGAATTACTGGTTCTCATTTCCTCACCTTCCGTTCTGTCCTCATTTTGGTCAAGGCTTTGTCCCCACTTCTATGCTGCAATGGCCGCTTATTTATATACGTGTTCCTCCTTCCTGTCTACACTCTAGACTAGAAGCTCCTTGAAGGTAAAGTCCGTCTGTATTGCTATTGTATCCCCAGTTCTCCTTTTGTTTGTTTATTTAAGTAATCTCTATACCTAATGTGGGCTGGCACTCTTGACCCTGAGATCGAGTCACATGCTCTACAAATCAACCTGGCCAGGTGCCCCTATATTTCCCCCATTTTTTGAGGTGGGTGCCCAAACAGGGACTGGAACCAATTCTTAAGGGATACCTAGTGCATAGTAGGTGCTTGAAAAATATTTGTGGAATACTGAATCAGCTGGTCCACCCTCCCCCAGGGCCTGTGCTCACCAGAGCCACGTGGACTGTGAACTCAACACCAATGCCCACAGAGGCCACAAGGATCACCACGGGAATGGCACTCAGTTTGATGCCCAGGAAACCCATGATGCCAAAGAGCTCCACAGTCATCATCGCCAGGACCAGTACCTGGGGAAGGCAGGGCTCACCCAGGGCTCCTGGGAGAAGGGGTGACGGGCAGGGCAGGGCAGGGCAGGGCCGGGGAGCCACGGGTCTCTCCTGCCTCCTCCCTGCGAGGACTCACGATGAGGCCAGCTGTCCAGGGGTTGAGCAGCAGCAGGGCACAGACGAGGAAAGTGCATACCAGCAGGATGCAGATAGCCAGCAGGAAGTAGCGCCGCAGGCCCAGATACTGCTCCCAGAAGAGGAAGGGGGAGCCACTGGGGTAGGCGCGCACCCCGGCCCGGCCTGCCTCGGCGCATGCTGCCCGGGCCCCCTCGATGGCCTCCACGAAGTCTGCAGTCTTCTGGAGGCCACGCAGTAGGAAGGGGAACTGGGCAAACTCCAGGGGCTGGGCCGCCGGGACTGCGGAGGGCAGGGGGGGCAGGGAGAGAGGGAGGGTGGCCAGTGAGCGCGGGGAGCAGTGGGCAGGGCCTTAGGGAAGGGCCTGTGTGGGCCCAGGCCGGGGCTCTTGCTGGGCTCCCCTTGCCCGGGACTCACTGCGAAGGTTCTCCCCGGTGGTGTCGTACTTGTCGTGCAGCCACTCGGGAGGTGGGGGGTAGAAGTTGGCCTGTGAGGCCGCCAGGCCCAGCGGGTCACTGCTTACCCACATGGTCAGCCCCACGTAGAAGAGCTCAGGTGCAATCAGCCCCTCTTTGTCTACCAGCTTCCGTGTGGTCAGCTGCAGAGGCAGAGGGCGCTGAAGGCCGGGGCCCCTGGGCCTGGAGCCCCTCTGTGTCCTGACCCTGCCAGCCCCCTGCCAACCTGGCTGAAATCCAGAGGTTCTTGGGTATCCCCAGTCTGGATGAGCAGCTTGTAGGCCAGGGCCCCGTCCTCGGAGCCATTGCGGCACGAGTGGCGGCTAATGCGCCCAGAAGCCCAGTCCTGGTCAAAGGCGGCCTGGATTCCTAGGGGAGAACAAGGTAGGGCGCGTTAGCCTGTGGTCCCCGGGCCTTCAGCCCGCGGCCGCCCTCTCTGCCTGCTTCCTTGCCTCTCACCCAGGAGCCAGTTCCGGTAATAGTGTAGCCAGGTGCGCGGTGCCTGGGTGGCAGGTGTGGGCAGCACGGCCTTGAGAGAGCTGAAGCGCTGGTGCAGATCAAAGAGGGCGCGTTGGGAGTGGGCGTAGTCAAAGCCACCCTGTGTCACCAGGGCCACCTCATACAGGGAGAAGTACCTGAGCTGGGCGCTCAGGAAGGCGTGCTCCTTGGTGCCCCGAGGCACCACATCCGTCAGGGCCAGCCCGTCCTGCACCAAGGTTGCTCCATAGAGGCTCAGGCCCAGGAGAGCCCCGAAGAGCACCAGCACGATGGCCTGTGGGGAATGGCGACGAAGCTGGAGGCCCAGGGATAGCCACGGCCTCAGGTGGCGGGGTGGGGCCCAGAGACCCTGCTGCTCACCCTGCCCGGGCTCAGCCCAACTTCTCCCAGGCCAGGCTCTTACCTTGCTGTGTGACTGGAGCAGCAAGGGTGCAAACTGAGAGCGGGCAAAATGGGCAAGATTCCAGCGGGCACAGGGCAGGGAGCTGCAGGTTGCCTTTTGTCTTGTCCCCTCCTCTTGGCCTAGAAGGTCCCGTGTGGATCCTCCTGGGCTGAAGAGCTCAGAGCCCAGCGGGTCAGAAGGTGGGGGCACCAAGCGGGCTCGGGGAGGCAGGATGGTAACCACGTGCTGGCTGCCGGCTTCGCAGTGGGCAAAGGCTTGAACCGTGGCGGTCAGGTGGGCGATGCCCACTGGCACCGTCCCGTCCCCCAGTTCCTGGGGCAGGATCTGAATCACCCGCGCAGAGCAGGGGCTGGAAGAGGCAGAGAGTGGGGGTGACGGTTCTGTGGAAATGCTGGGGCCACAGAGGAGAGGCCTGGGGTGAGGGTGGGGACGCAGGGACAGTACCTAGAGAAGCAGCAGAGCACGTCAAGGCGCTGGCAGTGGCGTCGGTGCAGGTCCAGGCTGAGGACCGCTGGGAAGACAAGCATCACGGCTGCAAAGTTGCAGCCAACGACTATGGCTGCCTGGGGGTGGACAGGAGGGACACAGAGGCTGGATGAAGCGGCCCCCTTCATGCTCACCCCGAGCCTGGGCCCTTCCTCGAGGCCTCACCTGCAGGGAGAAGGCTCGCAGGGCCGGGATGGGAACCAGGGCGGCCATGAAGAAAGCAACCATGTGGCTGATGGACGTGAGCGCGACGCTGGTGCCCGTGCGCTGCAGACACTCGCCTGTGCGCTCCTGCCAGGACAGGGGAGGAGCCGTGGGTCCTCAAGGTAGAGCGAGGGGGAGGCGTGGGAGCTTGGGATGGCAGAGGAGGGACAATAACCACACGGCGGCTCCTGCTTACGGAGTCCCACACACGTGCCACGCACACCGTCCCGAGCATTCAGCTGGAGTTCTCTCTGACCCTCACAACACCCTTGCCACACAAGCACTACTGTCACCCCTGTTTACAGATGAGGAAACTGAGGCACAGGCAGGTTAATTACTAGCCTAAGGTCACTTAAGGCCAAGAGGCCCTTTTTAAAAAAAAAAAAACTTATTTATTTATTTGAGCAAGAGAGAGCATGAGGGAGCATGAGCAGGGGAAGGGGCAGAGGGAGAGGCAGAGAATCTCAAGCAGACTCCCTGCTGAGCACAGGGCCCATCATGAGGCTTGATCCCATGACCCTGAGATCATGACCTGAGCCGAAATCAAGAGTCAGATGCTGGGACGCCTGGGTGGCTCAGTGGTTAAGCGTCTGCCTTTGGCCCAGGGTGTGACCCTGGGGTCCCCGGATCGAGTCCTGCATTGGGCTCCCCACAGGGAGCCTGCTTCTCTCTCTCTGCCTGTGTCTCTACCTCTCTCTCTATGTCTATTTATGAATAAATAAATAAAATTAAAAAAAAAGAGTTGGATGCTCAACCGATTGAGCCACCTGGATGCCCCAGTCAAGAGGCTCTGAAGCCTATGCCGAACTGCTCCGGAGGATGAAGCCTTACCTGGAGAGGGGTGCCAGGTGGAGCCTCTGTGAAGGCATGTGCCAGCAGGAATATGTCATCCACGCCGATGCCCAGTGCCAAGAAGGGCAGCACCTGGAGGGGCACAGGGGTGAGAAGCTGGAGCGACTGAGCAGCCTCACTGGGGGCCCCGAATCTGCCCCGTGGTCCTGGGGTACCTGGGTAGTGGCGGCATTGAAGGCGATGCCCAGCAGGGCGCAGAGCCCAAGGCCCGAGGCCACTGCCAGGGCTACCAGCAGCACCCCCGCAAGGCCCACGGCACCCTGGGACTGGGCACAGTCCCAGCGCAGCATCGTCACACAGGCATAGGCTAGCTGTGGGGAGAGAGGACAGTCTTGGACGGTGGTTCTCGGGGTGGGCGCTGGGTGGAGGCCAGGGCAAGGCGCCAGGAGCAGGACCCACCATGAGCAGATAGCCTCCGACCACACGGGCAGCACTGACTTCAGAGAAAGCATGCAGGATGTCATCCAGGGTGGTGGAGGAAAAGGCATGGATCTGCTGGGATGAATTCTGAGGCAGGGCCTCCTGAGCCAGCTGCAGAGACAGGGTGGATCTGAGGGGCAGGAGGAGGGAGCAGCCTCGGGCACCGCCCTCGCCCATCTGCACACTGACCTGCACGAAGCGCCGCTGCCAGGCCTGCAGCACTGTGCCCGCCTGCTCCTCGCTCCAGCCGATGTCATGCGTCTGGTAGTCGCCCCGGAAGTGCTCGTACAGCTGGCGGGGACTCATCAGCAGGAAGGTGCTCTGCAGGGCCTCCGCCCTGGCGAGGGTAGTGGAGAACTGGGGGTCAGGGCTGGCCTCCACAAGCAGCGGGGGCGAGGACGGGCTTGCGCGGAACCACCTAGATGGGAGTGTGGATTCCCACGCCTGCGGCCCCCACACCAGCCCCCAGGGAAGCTTTACCTCAGCAGCTGTCCTTGGGGGTCTCTGGCCATGCCCCCCAGCAGCAGTTCCTCCTGCCAGTGCATGAACTTGTGGGAAAAGCCGTGACAGCCCCCACTCAACTCCTGAGCCACGTTGGGAGCCTGGAAGGGGACAGGAGAGGGGTCAAGGTCCCGGCTGTAGGTAACTGGGCGTCCCCGGGCTGGGACCTCCGGGAACCCGGTCTGCCACGGACTCTGGAGCCTGAAGTCTAGATAACTATTCTCCTGAGCCTCTCGCCTACCCTGAAAGTGAACAGCTGTCCTGCGGAGAGGAGGCCACCAGAGGAAGCAGAGTCTTGGAAATAGCTTGGGGAAAGAGCTGGGATAACTTTGGTGGGTTTTGGAAAAAGGTTCATTTATAGGGCCACAGAGACACTCAGGGAAGCTAGGTAAGATACTTGTGCTTAGCTAGCTTGTCCTCAGTTTCTATGTATAAATCTTTTTTTTTTTTTTTTTTTTAAGATTAAGTCTAGGGACACGTGGGTGGCTCAGCGGTTGAGTGTCTGCCTTTGGCTCCGGTCGTGATCCTAGGGTTCTGGGACCAGGTTCCTCATAAGGCTCCCCGTGGGGAGCCTGCTTCTCTCTCTGCCTATGCCTCTGCCTCTCTCTGTGTCTCTCATGAATAAATAAAATCTTAAAAAAAAAAAAAGATTGGGATCCCTGGGTGGCGCAGCGGTTTGGCGCCTGCCTTTGGCCCAGGGCGCGATCCTGGAGACCCGGGATCGAATCCCACATTGGGCTCCTGGTGCATGGAGCCTGCTTCTCCCTCTGCCTGTGTCTCTGCCTCTCTCTCTCTCTCTCTGTGTGTGACTATCATAAATAAATAAAAATAAAAAAAAATAAAGATTAAATCTATTTGGATAAAGACCAGCTTTTCTGGGCTTAGAGAAGCACAAAGGGATTCATATATGACTTGAAGGTTCCTTAGGAGAACTGAACGGGAAGGGAACACTCTAGACATCTAGCACAGTGGGGGCAGGGTAACAGAGCACCACCTGCTCTCCAGACCCGAGGAACATACGGGGAAAGGGAAGTAAAATAGCCGTTCTCTGGCAAACCTGGCTGGAACCCACCTGCTTGCTGTGATGGTTAGGGGCACTAGGCGGGCAGTGGAGGTCGTCAGGGTGCAGACAGGGCCGCCCCACGTAGGCCTGGCCCACCTGTGCCTTGTCTAGCAGCTCCCGGAAGCCCTCGAGGGAGGCAAAGGGCCCCAGCTCCTCCAGCAGCTGCTCTGGATCCAGGTTGGTCCACTGGATGTCAGGGCGGCCGCTGAGGGGAGAGCCCGTGGTTGGCGAGGATAAAGGATCAATTCCCACCCTCCAAAATGCAGCTGGGGATCCCTGCTGCACCCCACCCTCCTCCTAGCTCCTCATGCATCCCTCCATATGAAGGGTCTGCAATGCTGAGCTTCCCAGAACCTTCCAGGCTATAGGAGCCCATGAGGTTGCTGCACTGGGGTGACATGAGGACAGACAGTACTCAGGCGCAGAAGAGGCCCAGAAGAGCCCCACGGGGTCCCTTCCCAAGCCATCTACCTTGGGTTCCAATACATAACCACGTGGGCACCCACGTGGCACCTCTGACAGGCTTTCCTGCTGACCCGACGGCTTAGCTGACACCCAGCTACCTCTCCTGGGGCAAAGGCTCTTTCTGGGGACCTTTTTTCTTCTCTTTGTTCTATTCTGTCTAAATAAGTCTGCCTTTCCTTGGGAGGAAGAGGAGGATGTGGAATGAGCCTTGGGGCAGCCTGTGCTTTGACCCTGGCCTCACGGGGGGCCAGGCCCCCGGGAAGGTTCTGGTCATCAAGCTCACTCCCGCCCTCTCCCCGATAAAGCAGGGCCTGGGGGCGGCTGGGCAGCACTCACGGCAAGTAGGCTGAGCCCCCTTGGAGCTTGGCGCCCTCCCAGAAGCAGTCGAGGGGGGTGAGGATCACACACGGAAACAGCTTCTCAATCATCTGCCGGGGACACCCAGGCCACATCAGTCCTGTCCCTGGGCTCCTTCCTCCGCAGTCTCTGCGGGATGCTCTCTGTGACCACCCCCCTTACCCTCCTCGTCTCTCAGAACCCTCCCCTGCTTGCAGAAGAGGCTCCCCCTTGACCCAGGCTCAGGATACTCACTCGCTCAATCATTCCATTTTCAATTAGGGGAATCCCTGACTTGTAGCAGATTTTGTTCAAATCCCAGGACCTGAAATGGCCGGGGCACGAGAGATGAGCGCAAGAGGGGGATTCACACAGCAGCCCAGCCACAGCGTGCCTCACTCCCAGCGGCTGGGGACTCAGCCAGACTCACTTTCCGTAGAGTGATACTTGCACTTTACTGGCGGTGAGGGCTGCCTGGAGGTGGAGGCCGAGCGCCTCGGGGGTGAGGACGTTCTCCCCTTCCTGGCGTGGGGTCTGTATCAGCATCTGGGAAGTGTATGCAGCCTCCTCCCCCAGCTTCTCCTTGGTGTAATGCAACTCCTGGCTCACGCGGCTGCCCACTGCCAGAGCAGATAGAGAAAGCTGGGGGAGAAGAGCCTTGGTGGACCAGAGCTCTGGGGGATGGCCGACTCCAGCTTGCCGAGGCCTCCCAGGACGAGCAGGACGAGCGGGAGAAGTGCCCTGAGAGGAGCCCCTGCTCTGCCCCCCGATGGTCATGTTGACTCCCCAGGCTCCTGGCACTCTGCTTAGAATCTGGAGCTTTGCACGGAAGGGAGAGACCTCATTGGATGGCTCTATGGAATTCTTGTGTGGTCTAAGATTTGAAGACGAATCAGGTCGGCTAGAGATGGGGCAATCAACTTCAAAAGGAGAGGTCAATAGGAGTTGGGCCGGGGCTGGGGTTAGGGAGGTATCCTGGTAAGGGGGTCATACTCAGTCCCTCTGTGCCTTGGTGAGGAAGACAACGAGGGACAAAATTATTAGGGAGGCTGCCATGGGGAGGGTCTCCTAAAAGACCGGGTGGTGCTAGGGCTTGTTCCTGGTTTGGGTTGTCTCAGGCAGTGCTTGAGGAAGGGACGCAGGGTCTGGTAATGACGGCCCTGTGGTGGCACTGGCGAGGGGGAGGGTGGGACAGTCAGTGTGGTTGGTGCTGCATCCTGCCTCTGCTCATGTGCGAAGTACCTGGAATCAGCTCATGTAGCCTGGGGAGGTGACATCAACGGGAGCAAAGGGGAAGAAAGGCTTCCAGATCCCCTTCCTCAGTCTCACCGTCCAGGCCACAGGGAGGCCCAGTGCCAAGCCTGCCTTAGTCTCCTTGATCTCGGCACCCCTCAAGTCCTGCACTGTGCTGGTGCAGGGTCATGCTCTGTACCAGGGAGGGGTGCGGGGAGGAGAGCGGGCAGGGCTGCTGTTAGGGGCTATGGCCTGACGGTGGTTTGGAGGAGGCCAAGGGCAAGGGCCAAACCACCCCTGAAGCTTTCTAGACTTGGTCTGGTCTTGGGCCCAGTTGTGCTTCCACCTGTCTGGGGCCTCTTCCTGTTGGGTCACTGCTACCCCTGGGGCCTGCATGTGCATCTTCTCTAAGACTCCAGCCCCACCCGCGATCATCATGTTCCCCAATCTCTTTTTCAAACCCATGTAATCTCCTGAGTCATGAGAGCTGCACACCCCTAGTAACCCCTTGACACAGACCGACCCAGATGCTCACACTTCCCCGCTCAGATCATATTCCTGGCCCTCCCTCACGAAGGTAATCTCCCACAGCCACATTGCAGGCTTCCACATTCTTCTTCCTTCTCTGACTCCCCAACTCCTTCCCCCAGGCCTGCACTGTAGTGTTTATTTCACCAGGCTTAGGCCAGAGCTGCCACAAGGAGGAACAGGAGGAGTGAGAAATAAGCTCCTCATGGTGAGTCTGCTGAGGGGAGGGAGGCACGAGAGAAGGAAGGAACCCAGAAAGAGCCATCAAGAAACCAAGAGAAAGAAACACAGAAAACGTAAAGTACAACATCAAAGAAAATAAAGAATCCTTAGAAAAAAGGAGAAGAGAAAAGTATACCTCAACTGACAATAATGATGATGACAGACATGAGGACAGATGGCCTGGGGTGTACTGTGGGGCAAGAAGAGACAGCAGGTGTAAGGGGGAGTGTGGGGCTCTGTACAGACCTTGCTTTGGGCCTTGGCTCTGACACCTGGTCTGTGCCTGGGGCAAATTACTTAGTCTCCCTACCCTCAATTTCCTCATCTGTTAAATGGGGACAGGGCCCACCTTGGTAGAATCAGAATCAATGCAAGCAAAGTACTTAGGAAACTGTCTAACAGCACAAAGAAGGAAGAGAGAAGGAATTATTGTTTATTATTTAATAGTTGCTAGAAAAGAGATTGTGGAAGATGCCTGGGTGGCTCAGTGGTTGAATGTCTGCCTTCGGCTCAGGGCGTGGTCCTGGAGTTTTCGGATCGAGTCCTGCAATGGGGTCCTTGCATGGAGCCTGCTTCTCCTCCCTCTTCCTATGTCTCTGCCTCTCTCTGTGTGTCTCTCATGAATAAATAAAATCTTAAAGAAGACAGATTGTGGGACAGAAAAATGAGAAAGAACTGGAGTGAAAAAAGACTGAGCAGGGAAAAAGTAGGAGAATGGGGGAAGGAGACCTCAAAATCAACACATCTGTTAACAACTCTTGTACCTTTATAAAAGGTGAAATATAACCTGTTAGCCATTATGGATAAGGAACCCACCTTATAGGTAATGTTATAATGGTAATATGTATTATAGGTAATATGAATTAAAGCAGCAACAAATAATCATCTATCAAATTAGGGGGAAAAAAAAAGAGAGAGATAGCCCTCATTGCTGGCTTACAGGTTAGAGTTAGGGTTAGGGTTAGGGAGTGCACTCTAACCTACCACCAGAGTGTAATTTGGTATGATATTTGGAGGGAAGCAATATTGTAATAGGTATCAGACCCTGAGAAATGTTCAATCTTTGGTCCAGAAATTTTACATGTGAGGGCTTGTAAACTATTGTAGTGATGCAGGCTTTCTCTGAGTGAATGGGGACCCATGGCAGGTTTTGAGCAGAGAAGTGAGATGACCTAACTTTTTCATCACCTAACAATATATTCTGGAGCTGAGCTGTGAATGAATAGGAATTGGCCAGGGGAAGAAGTCAGGAAACGGCATTCTGGACCAAGTACGTGTAGGGAACTGTCAAAGGCTCCACATTGCTGAGTGAGGCAGAGACAATGCTGAAGAAGAATTCAAGAGTTAGGTTGCAGAGGGCCTAGAATGTGTGCTAAGGAGCTTGAATTTGATTCCGGAGACTCCCCAGAACCTAGTAGAAAGTAGTGGAAGGGCTCTAACCAGGGTACCGACTTGGCCAGAGTTAGATACACCACAGGAGGGCAGTGTGGAAGCAGATTGGAAGGTGAGGCTTGCAGAAGATTGGTCACTTCTCTAATGCTTTGATTTTGTTGGCCATCCTCTGAAAGGTCCAGTGATTCAGGGAAGCTGGATCCCTCCGCAGCCTCAGGGGGTGAAATTTGATTAGTCAATTGCAGTAATTCCATTGCATTTGCCAAGTGGAGGGTTTAGGCATAGGATGCTACGCAGTTCTTGCCAAAGTGACTAAATGGGAAGTCAGCTGCGGGGCTTCTGGTAAATTTTTCTTCACTTCCATTAAGGGACCACACTGCTGTAGCCACTTGGGACAAGGAGGTGATAAGCCTGAGGAGAAAAGCCCAACATGCTGAAGAAGGCAGAGGAGAAAGACAGAAAGAACCTGGGTCCTTGTTGATGGCCTTAGATGACTGAATTAAGCATCCTGGAACTTCTCTAGTTCTACTACCAGCTTTCTTGTGACAGGGGATAATAAATCAATCTTCTTCCTTCCTTCCTCCGGTCCTCCTTTCCTTTTCTTTTCCTTTCTCATGTGGCTAAAAGCATATTAAATGATACAATCCAGAGTGTACTACCAGAGACCAAGAAAGGCCTCAACTAGAGCAACGGCCACAAGGGTTTAAGGGAGGGGTCTGCGTGAGAGAGGTTAAGAAAGAAGAATTTGCTGGTTTAGTAACCGTTAGGTAAGCAAGAAGAACTGAGGGTCACTCCCGAGGTTTTAGCCTTGGGTTTTTGAGTGGATAGTGATTCCACCAATTGACATGTTCTACCCTGCCTTCTAGATACAGGCCCCTTGGTTTCAGGGACAGCTCCAATTTCAATCCATTTCTATCACAGTTCCTGTAAGTACTAGCTTAGCTATATGTTTTTTGTTGTTGTTGTTTTTTGTTTTTTAAGTTATTTAGAGATCAATCTATCTCTGAGCCTTTTAGCTTGGGCGCGATCCTGGAGACCCGGGATCGAATCCCACGTCGGGCTCCCGGTGCATGGAGCCTGCTTCTCCCTCTGCCTGTGTCTCTGCCTCTCTCTCTCTCTCTGTGACTATCATAAATGAATAAAAATTAAAAAAAATTAAAAAAAAAACTGATCAGGAAAAAAATAAATAAAACTGATCAGGAAAATCAATCAATCAAACTGATCAGGAAAGACAAGTCACATTTTGTCTGTCACCATGGCAAAGCTGGAGGGGACCCTGAACTTTGGTCCAGAACTCTGATGTCCAGTGTCCTGCTTCTTTCTTTGCTTTCTGTACTAGCAAAACGGGAAAGGAACACAGAATACTCTTCAGTCCTCACCTTGATCAGCTCCTCATTGCCGAGGGCATTGCTGGGAGAAGCCTCAACTACAGATGTACAGAGAAAAGTTCAGGTCAGGGTCACTGCTCTTATCTCACCCCAGCCCTATCTGATACGGGACACAGCAGTATTCTGAAATAAAGGAAGGGGCAGCCCAGGTGGCTCAGCGGTTTAGCGCCGCCTTCAGTCCAGGGCCTGATCCTGGAGACCCGGGATCGAGTCCCATGTCAGGCTCTCTGCATGGAGCCTGCTTCTGTCTCTGCTTGTGTCTTTGCCTCTCTCTCTCTCTCTCTCTCTCGCTGTGTCTCTCATGAATAAATAAAATCTTAAAAAAAAGGAATTGGCTACCACCAATCACCCCGCTATAAACAGCAGCAAAAAACCTGGTGGGATGTAGCCTGTCCTATGCTGGAGTGTAGGAGAGAAGATGAGGAATGTGGAGGTTCAAGTGGTGTTTAGATGGGAAAGATCTGGGAAATGGAGAAGGAGGAAGAGGGGGGAGACAGCTTCTATTGTGGCAGGAAATCCAGCAGTCATTTGGGACCACCCAGGCAGCAGTAGTGTGGGTGGGGGTATGTGTATGTGCATGTATGCACATGTGTGTCCTGGGGCTGGGGGCAGGCAGGCAGGCAGGCAGGCAGAGAGAAACATCTGCTCTGGACCCCAGGGCTGGCCTGGAGTGTGTATGTATGTGTGAGCCTGCAGAGGGCTGGGGTAGGGTGGGGATGGGGTGTGAGAGCCTAACAGGCAGGCAGGCAGGCTCCAAGAAACATCTGCTCTGCATCCTAGGGCTTGCCAGCATTTGAAATAACTCAAGGGTGTGAGACTCTAACCTGGCCCTGCCTTTGGGTGTGGGCCAGGGCTGGGGGAGATTTGGGGGAACCCACAAATGCAGATTTCCCAGGAAAGAACAGAGGAGAGGGTGACTCTAATCAAGGGCCAGCATATGACACTGAGCCCCTGGACAGGGGAGTTATGCTAAAATTATTAATAAGAAATCATTTTTATCTAATGATTCCATTAGGAAGTGAGGATTTGGTTGCATTTGACATCGCTGTTGCCTCAAAGTGTAGACCCGGTGCCATATTTTTTTCCCCCACTAAATGGTTGTAGGGGGCCTAGGTGCATGGGACTCTAGGTGCATGGGACCTCTCCACTGAGGCCTGCCAGCAAATTTACTCAGTTTCCCCATCCCAGTTGTAATTTTCTTGATTCTCCTGGTCAGGTGTGATCTCTCTCTGCCTCCTCTTCATCATAATCATACTCTGTTCTATATTCTATCTTGTATTTTATCCCAGCACATATTTTACTTTCCTTGCTACTGAAAGATTTTGGCCGTCTTTGCAAACCCTGCCATGTAGTAAAAAATATACATAAAAAGTTGGCGAGAATTGCTAAATAAACAGACACATAAACTCGCAGATAACTATTCTATATACCTATTCACAGGACTCCCCCATCAGCAGATGTCTATTTACAGGTGTAAGAGGGAGCTACTCCCAGATGCCCAGGTTCTGGCAGGCAGGTACCCTCCCCAGACCCAGAGCTGAGCCCACTAGAACTCGGCCGCCAGGTCCTCACCCTGCTCTTGTTTGGGGCTCACCATACCCAAGTCCATGACTAGTGTCCACAACTCACCTTCCACCCAGAGCTGTTCTAGGTCTGTCTCAACGATGGCCACGCGGAGACCCAGTGCCAGGGCTCCGAAGGCCAACAGGCCCAGGAAGAGCACTTTGCCACAGTGTCTCTGGATCCCGCAGCCCAGAGAGAAGAGCAGGCCCTGGAAGTAAGCGCGAAGCCAGAGTGGAGACTTCAGGCTGCCGGCTGGGATCTGGGATGGAGTGAGAAGGCTCAGCCAGGCATTACTGCAACGATGCATGAATCCTCCCCCTTTATCCTTAGGGACACCCTCTGCCAAGCCCCAGGTTCTTGGCTTCTGGATGCAGGACAGGTGGGACCTACACGGACACAGGCCCAAAGCTGGAAAAGATCTGACTCTATTCCTAGCCCCCACCCAATACACACCCCAGGAAAGCGCAGGTCGTCTCCTGAGAGGAGGACACACACGCACACGTCTGTTCTCAGGTGGACAGAGGTGAGACCCAGGCACCCTCACCGGGCAGATGCCCAGGAGACGCAGAAGCGCGCACACGCTTAACCGGGGCTAGAACCCTGCACCTGGGCGACATCACACCTTGCGGAGTGACAGACCCGGGCCCAGGGTCTCTTCCCCAGGCTTCCCCTCCACTCACCTGGGGCGACGCGGCTCGAGCTGGGGGTGTATAGCCAGGGGGCAGCTCCTGGAGCGGCGGCGGCCGGGCCATGCCGGCGGGGATGGGGGGCGTGGGCGCCCCCAACCCGCGTTATCTGGGATTCCCCATAAGCCGGCCTGGGACCCCTGCCCGGGAGCCCCGCGTCGGGGCCCGCGGCGTGGGTGAGCGGCGGGGGCGGGGCGGGGCGGCGGCGGGGGCGACGGGCCCGGGCGCAGGCACAGCTACCGGCCCGCGCCGGGCCGCACCGCTGGAGGTGGCGAGCGCAGTGCGGAGGGGAGGCGTCCCTGGCTGCAGAAAAAGGGAGCGGGCCGGGACGCCGCCCTCCGATTGGCTGAGGGTCCGCAAATTACCCGGGGCCGCGCGGCCGGATCCGCTGCTAGGCGACGGCGCCGCGGGGGGCGGGGCGGGAGACCACCCAGGCAGGGCGCCCCCGCGCCTCGCTGCCGGCCGCCCGCGGGGGCCCCGGGGAGCCGCGGGGATGGGATCCCGGGAGGCGCGGCGCTGGCCCGGCGGCGGCCAGGAGGCGCCAGAGCGGAGAAGGGGGATCTGCCGGCCGACCCAGCCGACGCCCCAAGACTTCACCCTTTTCTGCTTCCATTCCTGCCCCTACTGTCCGGTCTTTGCCAGGCCAGACCCGACCCATGCCTCTCTAAAACGCAAATGTGACGATAGCTCCCAAGTACAGAGCACATTTGGGGCACGGAGCCCTGCGCCATCTAACGCCTGCTCTCCGTAGTTCCTTCACACCCACCCAATGGTCCTTCCAGCCCCGCAGAGTTAGATGTGACTTCCTAAAGGCATCATGCTGTCGCAGGCTTCTCTGCCACTGGACGCGTCGTGGCCCTGTTGTCTTGGAAGGCAACCTTCAAGGCTGAACAGAAACCAACCATCCCTCTTTAAAAACAAAAAGATTTTATTTATTCACGAGGGACAGACACAGAGAGAGGCAGAGACATAGGCAGGGGGAGAAGCAGGCTAGATCCTAGCCAAACTCAGACGCTCAACCACTGAGCCCCCCAGGCCCCCTCCGATCATCCCTTTGAAGCCTTCCTGGATTCACACCTCCCTCCCGATAGTTCCTGCTTTCATTATGCTTCTTATAACACACTACTTATTATTGCATTTATAACACAACTTATGTACTTGAAAGCCTGCCTCCCTCACTAGACAAGAAGTAGGTGCTCAGTAATGGTTGAGTGACTCACTGAGAGTTGCAGAAACCAGAGCAGAAAGGACAGGAAACAGGGAACAGTCCCTTTATTAAATTTTCATGAACTATTCTGAGTATTGTTTCTGCCAGGTTTCTGAATGATTAACCCTGAGTGGTAAAGGAGGGTAAAGTCAACATTCTAACATGTAAGACTTGGGAAAGAGAAAAATAATCTTCAATAAACTCATTACTCTAACACAACTACTACTCTCTCTGGCCAATTTCTTGGTCAATTCTTCCAGACTTGTATTATCATTACATCATTAACATTTCATGTTACTACATAGTCTTTGTATCAATCATTTGGAGAATGTCCTTAGGACACATTCCCAGAAGTGAGGGTGTTGGGTCAAAAAGTATGAACATTTTTACAGCTCTTGCTACACATTACCAAATTGCTTTTTGAAAATGTGTCAATTAACATTATTTTCGTTTTTTATTTTCTTTTTTTTTTTAAGATTTTATTTATTTATTCATGACAGAGAAAGAGGCAGAGACACAGGCAGAGGGAGAAGCAGGCTCCGCCTAGGAAGCCTGATGTGGAACTCCATCCAGGGGCTCCAGGATCATAGTCTGGGCTCAAGGCAGTGCTGAACCACTGGGCCACCGGGGCTGCCCTATTTTCGTTATTTTTTTTTAAAGATTTTATTAATTAACATTATTTTCAGAGCCTTAGTCTAGTCCTGTGGAAAGGGAAACTTTACGCTGAGGGGATTAACACCTAACAGGTTTGTGACATCTATTGGTCCACTTGTCCAGCCTATGAAGGAAATAACACATGTATGAGGCTGTTGGCCAGTAGTAACTACACATTGAAAGCAGCACATTTGGGATGCCCAGGTGACTCAGCGGTTTGGCATCTGCCTTCAGCCCAGGGTGTGATCCTGGAGGCCTGGGATTGAGTCCCACATCAGGCTCCCTGCATGGAGCCTGCCTCTCTCTGTGTCTCTGCCTCTCTTTCTGTATCTCTCATTAATAAAATTATTATTTTTTTAAAATTTATTTATTCATTCATGAGAGACACAGGGAGAGAGAGAGGCAGAGACACAGGCAGAGGGAGAAGCAGGCTCCATGCAGGGAGCCCGATGTGGGACTTGATCCCAGGTCCCCAGGACCAGGCCCTGGTCTGAAGGCAGCGCTAAACTGCTGAGCCACCCGGGGTGCCCTCTCATTAATAATTAAATAAAATAATATATATATATATATATAAAGAAAAGCAGCATATATACCTAGCACTTTCGTCTTCCCGGTTATCCTGTCATGGATAAACAAAGTGCACCCGCAGCATCCTAGAATCGTAGGATCCAAGAAAGTGTACCCTCCCGGGTGCCTGGGTGGCTCAGGCGGTGGTTCGGTGGTTCGGTGGTTAGCTGTCTGCCTCGGCTCAGGTCAGGATCCCAGGGTCCCAGATGGAACCCGGCAGCAGGCTCCCTGCTGAGCAGGGAGTCTGCTTATCCCTCTTTTTTCCTCCCTCTGCCCCTCCCCCTGCTCGTGCTCTGCCAAAATAAAATAAAGTCAAAAAGAAAAGAAAAAAAGAAAGTGTACCCTCAGCAATTCTCTGGGTATAGAAATGGCCTCTAAACTAGCTGTATGGGGCCCTGGATTGCTCTTGGGGCTACAGGTGAGTATGGCTGGATACCCAAGCAGACAGACTGCTGTAAGTAACTTTTGAGACCTCATTCCCTCTTACCAGACTCTGCAAGACATCAAGCCCATGGAGAAAGATTTGTAATCGCCTGGGCCTTGGGACTCTGCTTCTACCACAGGCCCACCATTGCTAACAACTGTGGTGAAGCCCAGCATTTCTGTGGATGCTTCTAGGGCAGGGCTGGTCTGCTGGGAAAATTTCTTGCCAAAGACCAGTGTGGGAGAAACTGGTCTGCAGTTCTAACTATTCCAATACAGGGCCTAGTGCCCTCTGGCTGCTCCAAGCTCCAAGATGACCTTTCTTTTCCCCAACAAAGTGATTTCCTGAGTGGAGATGAACTCAGCCAGGGAGAGCTAAAGCCACAAACCCCAGGGAACAGGAAGGGAAGTAGAAGCTCCTCTTCTCTCTCTATAAGCAGCCTGCTTCACTGTGAAACAGCCTGGTTCAGTGTCACATCCACTGGGTCTGGGAATGTGTTTTGGGCTCAGACCAGAGTAGTTCTCCAAAGAATAACAAAAGAGACAAACAATGTAATTAATTCATTATCACCAAGGAGTAAATCTAATTACTGACTGAGACAAACATCCCTTAAGGTCTGTTACGTGTCCGCTCTTTGCTAAGCTCCGGTTTTGTAGAGTACCTGCTTTTTCAAAGTTCATAACCTGGCGGGGGGGCACAGAGACCACAGGACAAACTACTGTGAACTGGAATACTCAGTGAGGTTTAAGTTAGAGGGTTGGATGGGAGAGGTGGGAGGATGATCAAATCGAAAAGGAGACACATGTTCAAGGTCTAGATCTTTCATGTATTGTTTATGAGAGTTTGGGCAAGTCACATGATCTATGACATTGACATAAGGATAAATGAGATAATGTATGTGGCTAAGGACAGTACCAGGAAAAGTGAGGTCAAACACACACACAAACACACTGTTGGAAAATAACTAGCCTGGCTTCAGGGTATGGTCCATGTGGGAGGAACAAGGGCAGGCCTTCTTTCCTTGGCATTTCCCCAGGGTTCTCATTAATGCTTTGGGCTGGCTTCTGGTATCTGGGCCAGGCAGAGTCAGTAACCCAGTCAGAGTCTACATCTCTACAGAGATGTAGAAGAGGGTAGCAGGGAGCCTTGGCATCACCAACTCTCCCACCCACCCTGCCATCCATTATGTTTAATGGCTAAGCCTGGGACTGCAATAGCACCTGTCGAGTCTCTAGTGTCAGAGGCTACAACCAGAGATCAGAAAATGGCCTTTTACCTTGAGGGTGGAGCAAGGAGAGAGGCTGAGAATCAAAACAGAATCTCCCCATTTGTCCACAGCAGAAAAACCCCTGATGCAGTCCTTCTGGGTGGTGGCAGACGGCTCAGGTCAAGGACAGGTCTTCCTGGCTGCAAGTAGAACACGTTCTCTTGCCCAGACTCTTTCCTTCCCTGTGAGCTCCATCAGAGCTAAGTTTTCTAGACCCTGTGTCTGGGTGGTCCTTCCCACACCCACTCCCCATTCCTCAGACATATTTAACTATGAAGGCAGTATACAAAGGCCTGGCTTATGTACCTTCTTAGGGGTAGGGATGGCTGTGGATAAAGAAAGTGTGCTTTCTGCAATCCTCTGGAAATAGAAACAGTTTATAAACTAGGCTGTGCAGGCCCCTAGATTGCTCTTGAGGCTCCAGCTACACAATCCTCTGCTACCCCCCACCCCTCACCTCCGTGAATGGAGTGGGATAGGAAGAGTGATGTAGTGAAGGGCTGGGAAGAAGTTCAGCCTCTGGCCTTGGGAAAAAGCTTGGAGGGCAGTTTTGGCAGTCAGTCCCTTTACTGGCTCAGGAGCTCTTGCCAGCAGGTGGGGGTGAGGTGTACTCAGGGAGGGGTTCCTGTAGTAGTAGACATCAAATTTTGTCTGACCTGGCAAGCTCCCAGAACCCCAGGTGTTGTTGCTCAACACGTCCCCAGAGTGCTCCCTGATTGGCACTAAAAGCCCCCTTCCTTTTCTCCTCCACTTCCCTCATGGAGCATCATTGGGAGAGGCAGGGCAGGCAACTCTTTGACTTCTGTCCCATGGAGAGGTGGCTGGCCAGTGGAAATTCAGTTGCTCACTATATTTTAGATATATTCAAACTCTGTAGCTGCTGTCCAAAGGAAACAAAAATGGTCCCTGCCTTCTGGCAAACTGACCAAAGAGAAGAGAAATTAAAGCATCTTGGGCATCCAGTCAATCCTGGAGCAGTGTCCTGGGCTGGGGGTTGATCCCAGCTGGGACTTAAAAATAGCGAGGCCTTCCCCTGGGAAACTCTCACTTTGTTCTGTTTTCTCCA